CCCAGCCCACCCAGTGCTGGTGAGCATGGTGGCACTGGGATGGGGGCTGGTCCCAGCTGTCCTGAGCAGAGCCCTGGGGGATGGCCAGCCAGGAGCCTCTCACACATGCTGCTGCAGGGGACCAGTGTTTGTCCACTCTTTGGAAAGCATCTAAGGTTGGTGTCAGTTGACCAAAAAAGAGAAGGTAAGTTTATGCTGATGTGCTGAGAGGTCCCCCTTGAGCAAGAGGAGTTAGCCCGGGGTCGTGGGGGAGGAGGCTGCCCCCTGGACAAAGACAGTGCTTCTCCAGCTGTGCCAGCAGTGAGAGGTCCTCAGGAGAGGCTGTGAGCACAAAGGCTCTTCACCAGCCCCTCCAGCTCACCCTCCCTGCTGGCCCAGCCTGCGGCACTGGGGCTGTGCTGTCCCACTGAGGGACAACTGGGGCAGTATACTGCTGAGCCTTGACCCCATCCCTAGCGGGGTGGGAAGTTCCCAGAGGAGCAGGCGAGTGTTCGGCAGCATGTCAGACACCCTTTGATCGCAGAGTATAAAGCAAAACAGGCCAGTTATTGATTCATGTTCACTGCAGCTCTGGGCTCTCCCCGGCCCTCTTCAGACCCATGTGGTGTCTATCACGTTTTTCTTGTTCAGACAGTAAAACTTGATGGTGCCCTTTCATCACCGCCTTGCTAAGGGCTGGCTGCAGCCTGCCTTTTGCAGGACGCAGCAGGCTGGTGGTGCAGTGGTGGGATCCTGCTGTCCCCTGCCGGGCATCCCCAGCACGGCTTGTGGTGCTGCTCCAGGTCTGAAGTCTCCACAAGGCATGGCTTAGAGGTTACAGCACAGGAAGAGGGGGCACGCTTGAGATTTTCTCTGCAGCTCTACTGTTTATGTGGCTTCAGGCACCCTAGTGCCATGTTTTTTTCCCTGCCACAGGAGAGAAGGGAGGTCTGCCAAGTTGACCTCAGAATGAGCTTGGTCCAAACCAGTCTGAATGAACTGGTTTGGACTACTGGCAATACAAGGTGGAGTGGAACTTCTGCTAACTGCAAGGAGATGGTATCCAGTGAACCCACAGCTGTGATTTACTGGTGCTTCTAAACAACTGGGTCTGTCTACCATAAGCCAGCTGCTATGAAAATCCATTTCCATTCCATGACAGGTGACCTGGTGGAAGGAAGGCCCAGGAAGGCTACACATGGCTCCACTGCAAAGGCTCTGGACCTGCTGACTGCCTGTCCTTTGAAAGCCAAGGGAGAGCACTGGTGTCAGTTTGTCTCAGATGGTGGAAAGAGAGCCCACCTCTGCCACTACTGCTCAGAGAGGGGACCAAGGCTGCTAAACAAGGCTGCTTGACATGGTGGTTATAGCTGAGGGCTTAGAGAAAGAAGTTGGGGGAAACAACAGAAACAAATTTCTGGAGCATTGTGCAAGGCAGTTTGGGAACTGCTTTTACAGGATGGGCAGCAAGTGAGAATAGCTGAGTAAGCCAAGCATGTTCCCATAGTTTCTGCCAGAGCATGGTTTGTGATGCCCTACACCCCATGGAGGGGGACCTCCACAGAGGCCAGGCACGAGGTGCATGCTGCTCCCCACAGCTTTCCAAAGCTGGCTGCTCAGCACAGGCACTGCACTGTGGCCTTGGTCACAGAAGAATGGCCCCAATGGCCGTGCCACAGAAGAATGGCCCCAATGGCCGTGCCACAGAAGAATGGCCCCAATGGCCGTGCCACAGCAAAATGGCTTGAGCAAAGTGTGAGGAAGGAGAGAGGATGAAGACTAATGTCACCATGAAACTCTAACACTGATATAAAATCCTCTCAAACCAACCCATGTATCACTGGAAGCAGCCTGTAAATGTGAATCCTGGCTGGCAGCCAAAGTGCAAATGGCAAGCCTCTGGGCAAGACAAGTGGCTTAATGTGTAGTGGGTACCACTGCTTTTACAGAACAGCCTGTGCTGGTGCATAGGTTTTGCAGTGTTGGTTACAGGCTATTAAACTCCTCTGAGTTTGTAAATTCTCAGCCCTCTTCCAAATGTATAAACTCATTCCTAAAAACCTCACCAAAACACAGTCAAATGGCACAGTTTCATTGAGGATATCATCTCCCCACCTGAACAGAGACAGAACAAGAAGGTACACCTCTACCACGAAAAATCAGGTTCATGTGAGGTTGCTTTGTAGGAGTACTAGCCAAAAAAATCCTCTATGGAAGGAAGGAGCTGCTAAAGGCATGTTGATACAAAGCAAGCCTGAGAATACCTGCACTGCTCATTTTATGCTCCCCTCCTGCGCACTGGCATGAGAGAAGCATTAGTGCACCAATGAACAGTGGAGAAGACTAAGTTACCACAGCCCTCCCCAGGCAGGGGACAAGGACCCTCAGGACGGTTGATGTAGGCTCACTAAGAAGGTGGAGGTTGGGCAGTAGCTAAGGGAACATGGGAGGGAGACAGGAGGTTTAAATTGTTAACTATTAATCAGCCTTTCCCAAAGAGATTCCATTCCTCCATCACCACCACCCCCTCTCCACCTCCCCATACATTCACATTTATTTTAAACCCTGGGGCTTGTTGCTTTCCAGAAAGGAAACATTGCTGTCAAGGGCACTTAGACAAAGTCATTCAGTTTCTGGGCCAGAGCTAGTACAGTTTAATAAGAGCTCCAGAGTAACAGCCCAATGTGCTGCACTGCCCATTCTGGCAACAGGGACCCCTGCCACAGGGGGAGGCAGCAGCTTGCTGCATTAAGAGGTGCTGGGTGCTGCTGACGGGTGGGTGCTGCTGACGGATGGGTGCTGACAGTGCTCAGGATTGCACTACGGTGTTTGCTGCTTTTCTGCAAGCCTAAGCTCACAGTTCTATGGGATTCTGAAAGACTCTTATGTCTTCCTTTCATCTATTTGCTTTTTAAGTAGTTTTCTAGCTTTCATGTTTTTAAAGAACACACGAAATTCAATATATCGATATATTAAAAAAAAAAACCAAAACAACAGGACAGATGAGGGAAAAAAACATCCAGACTCTTTGTACAACCTAAGGGCCCTTAAGCCATGGATTTGGTGGTTTCTGGAAGTGGAGGGTGCTCTTGGAGTCTGCAGCAATGCTCCATGAGAGAGCACAGGGATCACCCAGGCTGGGCTCTTTCCCAGCCTTTGTGTGACCTTCCCCATTGCCGTGCCTCTGTTTCCCTCTTTGTGTCTCTTGAAAAGGAAGTTTTGACACGTCGCTGAGTCATCAGCTGTGTAAAAGCAGTAGTTCCTTCCAGCACCCATGGTGGTATGGGAGGACAAGAGGAAATGGGAACACCCAAAAGGCTGCACAGCAAAGATACATTTTGGATCTGCACCATTCAGCACTTCCCTCAGGATGCTCTGGAAGCCGTTCTCCAGTGGGCTGTTCCATTGTTTACATGGAAAATGCACTCTGCCCCAAACCGTCAGCCTTGCCTGCTGAAAAATTCCTGCCACCCAGCACCTTGTAAGTGTTCAGAAAACCACTATCTGCAGTTATTTACAGGAATTGGGGACCCATTCATGAGTTTAGGTGTTTGGCTGTCCCGAGAAAATCCCATTCTGAAATACAGACCAAGACTCTCTGGAAGAAAAGCTGTTGCTATGACTTTGGACCAAGTTGTCTCTTGCCCCTATACACATCAGTACGACATGTACCAGCCAGGCTCAGCTTTGTTGTCTCAGGCAGGGGAGAGGGGATCGCTGGCGACAGGCTCAGCCGGCTGCCACGTCCCCGCGGGGCTGCCTGCGCGTGAGCAGAGTGCGATTCACCCAGCCGCTCGCCGTCACCACTGCTGCTTCACAGCAGGGCAGCGAGGGGCAGCTCCCCGCTGCAGCACAAGGTGAGCTCGCTGGCCTGTGAACCCTGCGGGCAACAGACGTCAGCGCTGCCCACCGGGACGGTGCTGTTGCTCACACGCCCCTCCTGCCAGGACTGCAATAACCAGAGGCTGGTGCCATTTTTTTTTCCCACCCCGCTCCCCGCCCCTTCCCTGAGCAGCAGCATGGGGATCCATGGTGAACCCCACTGAGACCCACCATGTTCTAGCACGCAGGAAGGTGGGGCTGGTGTCTGGACACATAAGGCCACATAAGCCACATGGCTTTCAGACATGCCTCCATAGGCAGTGCATCCTTCACAGACAAGCTAAAGACCCTCAAGTAGTCTACCAAATCCAGTCCAAAGAGGTCAGAGTACCTATGCGCCTCACTCCACGTGTCAGAACAGTTGTGCAACCCTGGTGCTATTCAAATGACTCTGGTTACAACACAGAAATACCTCTCACTGGGGCTCCCAAGGAGAGAAATACATGTTTTCCTGCTATGGTCGGCCTGGGTCTATAGCACCCCTGGG